ACAAAAAGGCATTGTCTTTGCTGACTGCTTAGGTCAGCTTGCTCCTCATGTTTAAAATGGTGGTTTTTAAACTGACAAGGACTCTGACATTCTCTCTGAGGGCATTTACCATTTGTTTTTTCTCATGATATTTCTTACCATTATAAAATGTAATTCCAATGGAAAAAATAGCTGAAAACTTAGACGCTTAGCTGACAAGCTGCTGGAGGATTCTCTCTGTCACACCCCCCCCCCCACACACACACATCTTAAGTCCACAGCATTTTTTAAACTGAGTTTATTCAGACCCTGGAGAGAGAGCAGCAACAGCAGAAAGCCACCCAAGTAATTTTTGTTTTTCTCTTTCTGTTATCCATCCCAAGCCTTCAGAACTAGAGTAATTCCCAGCAGGATTCAGGGAGCCTCAGTCCTACCCTGGGGGCAAGTGGCATGAGATTTGAGATTTCCAGACTCCTCAGTCCTCACATTAATACTTCCATATAGTTGTACATCTTAAAGTCAATTCGTTATTTCTTTTTTATGATGCAATAAACAGTTTAGTAGAACGTTGGGTTTAGTATCTTGTGGTTGTTTTTTGTTTTTGAGACAGGGTTTCTCTGTAGCTTGGGAGCCTGCCTGGAACTAGCTCTTATAGACCAGGCTGGCCTCGAACTCACAGAGATCCACTTGCCTCTGCCTCCCGAGTGCTGGGATTAGAGGCATGCACCACCACCGCCCGACCTCTTCGTGAGTTTCTAACTAGTCCCTTGCCCCCCTTCCCACGAGCCATACTCATTCACTCACTCATCTTCCCCTGTCCTTGATCACTGATGCAGATTTTGTCACAGGATTTTGTCACAAATAGAGAAGCAGATTAAGTCCCAATGTCAATCACATGGAAATGGAGATAAAGCAACCGGCCTAGAGGCTTGTGCTCTGATGTGTGTCCCTTAGCTCTCAGAGGGTTGGCTTTTCTCATTTTTAAAGTGTGTGCAGCGGGGTTAGATGATTACTGGGAGCACACACAAGTTATCACAGGACAAACATCCACCAGGTCTTATTTGCTGAGTAGTTATTCCGTGTTCTCTCCTAATCCACGGGCTAGTTAGCACTCTACAGGTAAGGGAGCGAAGCAGAGAAATACATGAATATTTCTCATCGATTAATACTATTCCATGGACTGTTTAAAACATACTGAAATTCCTCTATTTGCTCTGATCAGGCCGAGCTGTCTGGGTCATCAATCGGATGTATTGCTGGTACCTGGAAGAATCCCAACTTAGTGTGACAGGGTCAGTTCTGTTGTGCTGGGAGCTGGAGTTACAGCCAACAGCTCTGGCCCTGTGGCAAACATCATGAGGACTAATCCTAGAACCAACATTTGAATTCGTAGCTATAGCTCAAAGGCGGCTAGTATTAACAGTCCCTGCCATCTGGTAACTCCGTGGGCTGCCCACTCACTCCCGCTAACTAACTGAGCTTTCAAAATAATTATTTTAAATTTATGTGACCTCCAGACACCCATGACCTTAAACAAAAAGCCCCAGGCATCCTGCCCTCATTACAGCCTTGGCTTTGATTTAAAATCAGAAGGAGCCATAGTTATTTAACAGCAATTTGTTGGAATAACTAAGAGTTTTCAAACGCTGTGGCTTATGAAACAAAATTAGCAAAAATAAAACAACAAAAAAAGCATCACTACCATTTGGAGTCACAAGTTCCAATTTTGTGTTGTTCAGCACCCTGCCTGCAGCCTCAGTGCCTGGCACATAGTGGGCACTTGATAAAAATGTGCCTGGAGGCATGCCCATAGACCAGCCATACTGTGCTGATTCAGTTCAGTTGTTAGTGTGCTGCCAGAAGATGGGGCAGATGCCCAAAATCTAGGACGAACTCCAGAATATATTGTCAGCGGTGAGGACAGAGTCCTCAGCTAATCTGAGGTTTTCTCCTCTGGCTCCAAAGTGGAGCTTTGTGAACTAAGGCCTCCTAGGACACACACTAAGCCATTGCATTCCTGCACCATATGAATGAGCCCACTGTTTCCCGGTATGTTTTCAGCATTGCACTTGCTTCTTGGTCGTTCCTTTGACTTTGTGTTGATAGGCCCATAGGAGAAGTTTGTTTTGTTTTGAATCTTCTTTCAAGAAACAATTCCTACGGTGAGCTGAGGCTCCCTGGGCAGGCCAGAGCAGTGCCCACAAAGTAACCACTGGGAGAAATTGGACTGACCCTGAGTAGGTCACTACCTCAATTCCTTTCTCTCTCCTTTTTTACCATGGAAAAAAAAATTCAGAAGACACCACACATACTCATACCTCAAAACAGAATTCTTCTTCCTTCTCCTCTTCCTCCCTCCTCTTCCCTTCTCTTCTTCCTCCTCTTTTCCCTTCTCCCCCCTTCCCTTCCATTAAACCTTTCCTCTTCCCTTTGCCTCCATTTGGTGTACAAGGCCCTTCTCTGTGTACTAGCTATTGTTTTTAGTCTCATGGCATTGATGTTTCTTACGCACACTTGTTTCTCCTTTACTAGGCAATGACAACCACCTTTCTCAAAGTAGACAAGGTAAAGAAGCATATTTTGAACTTACAAAATGGCAAATTTCATGTATAGGGAAGTATAATTTCAACATGAAGCTGGGCATCAGTGCTTGTGAATCCAGATCACAACTCCAGTGACCTGGAATTGTAAATTCATTATACCTAAAAGGTATAATGAAACAATGAACAGGTTAGAGATGTGTATATGTATGTGTGGGTAGACATGTGCTCCTGAAGATTAAACCCAGGATCTTGAGAATACTAGGCACCCCCCAGATCCATCCTTCAATTTTTGACTACTATTCTTGAAAACATTCAAAAGGTTAGCATATTTCAACAGCTGCCAGCAAAGAGAAACGTTACTAACATCAGTTTATTCATAATAGGCTAAAGAATAAAATTTTGATGTAGAACATGTATTCATGCAAGCTAATAAGAGAATCTCTCAATTTCAGGAAAGCAGAGGCCATTGGTAAGGTATTGCAAACGAAGAAGCACAAATGATGGGTGTGTGTGCAAAACAAAATCCACAGCATCACCGGCAATAAAACCACTTTAGGTTTTCAGCAGTGATTGCTTAATTTTGTTCAGAAATTTTCCAAAAGGGGATTGTAAGGTGATGCACAACCACGAGAAGAGGTCAGGAAAGTGATCAAGGGCTAATAAATGCATGATTTGTGTGAGACAGCTGAGGACCAGAGCTTCTAAGAACTTATGGGAACTGGGGAGATGGCTCAGCAGTTTGGAGTAGCGTTTCCAGCACCCACATGACTGATCACAACCACTGGTAACTCCAGATCCAAGAGATCCAGTTACCTCTTCTGGCCTCCACGGGTACTGCAGGCATGTGGTGCACATACCAGCAAGCAGGTACACATACACAAACAGATAAAAGTAATCTTTTAAGAAGACATTTAAGAGAAGTTACGTATCTTCCAATCCATCAAATTCACTCACTCAGCAAATATTTTTGAGCCCTTCCAATGTGTTCTTCTAGTTAGTAAAAGTTGAACTTCAAGTTTCAAGGATGAAATATTTATGAGTAAACGATTGGGTGACTAAATACTCATTTACTAGGGTGCTACTAAGTTATTACTGCAACAAAATGCTAAAAGCAGTTTAATTTAAAGTTTAAATGCTTAAATGAGCTAGAATATTCTATATAGTAAGATGCTCAACAGCTACAAATGCCAGGCTCAAAATGCCCATGAATTAGCTTGCTTTCTGTAACTGTGATAAAGACCAAGACCAAATGCAACTTGGAAAAGAAAAGGTTTATTCAGCCCATTCATCCCTACTAGCATCCATCATTGAGGGAGGCCAAGACAGGAGCTCAAGGAGGGCAGGAACCTGGAGGTAGGAACTGAAGCTGAGACCATAGAGGAATGCTGCTTACTGGTTTGCTCCTGGTGGCTTGCTCAGCTTGCTTTTTTATATCACTTAAGACCAGAGCTGGCACTGCCCACAATGGGCTAAACCTTCCCACATCAATCATCCATCAAGAAGATGTACCATAGACTTGCCCTCAGGACAATCAGGCAGAGGCATTTTCTGAAGTTTGCTCTTCCCAGATGATTCTAGCTTGCGTCAAGTTGACAAAAAATTAACCAACACTTCCAAGAATTATTGAAGTGAGAAAAGGGCTGGCTACAGGCCAATATGTAGATTAACTCCATTGTTAATTAAAAAATATAAATGAGTAGAAAAATATTCTAGCACTTTCAAAACTAAGGCATCAATTGATCATGAGTTATCAGGTATTCTTAATATACTTTATATTTTTTCAGTCTAATTGATTATCATTCCAAAAACACAGGTTTTAATTATCAAGGATGCATTCTTTAGAGCAATATTCTTTAGATATTGCATATTTGCATGTCATAATTAATTCAGACAGTTCACTGAGAGAAAAATAGGAAATTCTTCATTATTTACAATCCGTAGCACTGAATTTAATGAACATGAATACTGAAAATTTAAAAATAGAAGAGATTGTTTTTTATTTTTACAGCTGGACAAATTATAGACACAAAGCAAGCTCTGCAGCAGGTTCCCTAGGTGATGTGTTGAAGGTCATTGCTTCCTTGTAAGCAGGACGATGACACCCGGTTTCCAGGATTACCTACACAGAGTTCTCACACATCCTCGATGCATAATTACCCCAGTAAGGACCCCAGAACCAACACTGGGCCTGGCAAGTGGGTGGAATCTTCCATCACACTTCTTGCTTTGTAGAAGTGACCCTTCCTTTCTAATGTTTCTCTTGGAAGAAAGAACTCATGGTAAGTTTACAAAACCACCGATAACTAAAAAGGTCCATGGAGAGAACCCCAATAAAAGCACCCCTTTATAAGACTGTTTAAAGTTATTCATAGTATTATTGCAAGTAAGGTAAATTTGGAGACTTGGAATTTGGCAGCTTGGAGTGTCCCCGATGTGCTTGTGTCCCAAACCTCACATGTCTTCTCATTCTTTCCCCAGAATGTCGCGTGGTGAAATCCACTTCTTACACCAAAATAGCATCATCGTCCCGCAGAGGCACAACCAAGAGCCCAGGACCTTCCAGGCGAAGCAAGTCCCCAGCCTCCACCAGCTCAGGTACAGGCACTGCGAGCCTCCCAAGCCGCCGCCGGGCCTCTGACGCAGCTGGGGGGGGGGGGGGGATGTGGAGCGAGAGTGTGAGGTTCTGAAGCAGGCGTCAATTCTGCTTTATAATTTTAGAACATGTTCGAGCGGATGAACAGATTTGCCCAAGTCTAGCATGTTGGCTGTAAGAAAAAAAACCTCAAACTTAGAAAAACACAGTTATAGAGACTCAGGAGATACAAATTTGCTCCAAATAGAAGCAGTTCACCAGCTGCTACAGATTCTACCTGGCTCCTCTCTCAGGGTCTAGAAATTTCCATTGGGGTGTTGGTTCTACTCGGAGCTGGCTTATGGAGGGTTTCCAGTTTGTCTTTGCTGAACTTAGTCCTCATGCTTGTGACATTGGCCTGGGTTTCCTTCTATGGCTCTGGGACTAAAAGCAATGAGATTGGTACTGGGGAAGGCCTGCCACTGGGTCAGTCTCAGAATGGGCTCGATGCGGGTGTTGGAAGTGGTTATGTGCTGGGATAAGGAACATTGCAGTCCCATCGCCTTTTGTTTCTTTAATTAATTAGTATGCATGCATTTAGGTTGCTTTATGTATGCTGTTTGCCATTATAACTTATTTTATTGTTTATAGTTTTATACACATATATGCATTTCATTCATTTTTACTTCCCACTTCCTCTGGTCTCAAGATAGACACCAGTCAGTTAGAAGGTGTTGACTTTTGGTCTCAAATTTAAAGTCTGTTTCATTGTGACTGAAGGGATATAAGCTGTGAAATGGAAATTATCAATGAAGTTCAACAACATGGCTGTCACCTGGTTTCATGACAGAGCTCTTCAAAACAGCTCACAAGACCTTTGCACCTATGGGAGGCCTTTTCTGGCTCCAGGCTGGTCCAAAGTGAGCTAGTTGCAAAAAAGACTAGACTTGGCTGCCTAAAAGGTGATTTTAATGGGCTGGTTCTCTGAGACTTGCAGTCTGGTAAGACTCTTTGCTCTCCTGCTGTGGCCTTCATCATACCAGTCAGGACTAGGGACTGGCAAGAACATGGCTGGCACTTGTGACAAGCTCTCAGTTTCTTCTTGCTGATTGTAGGCCTAGGCAGAGAGCTCCTTGCTCGCCCATAGTTCATGGAGATAGGGTAGACCCTAAAATAAGACTTTTCTAAAGCACAAGAGTCATGAGCGTTGCTTGGGAGGAGGTAAAGTTTTGGCAGGATGATTTCCATTCCCTCGGGTGCTAAGGATATGAACCTGTGCTTTAAAAGTCTTTCAGGGAGTTTCAGTTAAAGAGTCTATGGTCACATCTCAAGCAACAGCGGAGGCTGTGGTCCTCAGACTCATTACCACCACTGAGAATATGTCCGCCATACAGAGCCTTGAGCATCATTTCAAACCCACTGACTCAGAAGCTCTGGAATGGGGCCAAGTAACTGGAGTTTCCAGAACCCTCCAGGTTATTCTGATGTCTACATAAGTTTAAGTACCACTGGATGCTGGTGGGCGAAAGGAATTAATGAGAGAACTCATTTGACTCTGGGTAACTGAGGAGGACAGACACGGCTTCCCGATCTTTCTCTCTTGACGTCACAGGGATGGATTCCTGTCTTCATGTTTCTTGTCGACAAGCTGCCGTTACCGTTCTTAGTCCTCACCATCATAGCAGACCTCCGGATGACTCAAAGTGTGGACAGCCTTTTTGCCATTGGATAGTCTAGTTAGAGATATGGAGACGACAGCATGATTCCGCACCTGCTGCATTTCAAACTCCCCTGGGAAAGTTTAGCTTGTCCACTGCCTGGCGAAAAATCTAAGGGCCTAACCTCAAATCCCTATGACTCACATAAAACATCCAGGCATGCCCACATATGTCTGTGACCCCAGCACTAGGGGACAAATATGAACAGATCCCCCAAGCCAGGTGGCCACCCAGCCTTGTTGAAACAGCCTAGCTTCAGATCCAGTGAGAGCAGGGTACCTAACACCCTTCTGGCCTCAGCATGTAGGCACGCATGCTGGCACATGTATATGCTCAAACACATGTGCATCACACACACACACACACACACACACACACACACACACAAAGACTATAATATGAACTGGTTTGATTTAAATAAGGATCAATAGAGTGGACTTTACCTTCATATTGTTTCATAATGTGGAAATTATGAGAAACGCAGAGTTGCCTAACTCGAAACTGCACTGTTGCAAACTCCCCAAAACTTGGAAATTTCAAGATATAGACCTCACCTTGGATCTTTTCCAAGAACATTGGTGCTGGGGTAATGGATTTGTTTTGAAGCTTTTATTCCATGGAAGAAACATAGACAACTTCTTTTTGTCTGGTTACACATTCTACTTTGAATCTCTGTCTTCATAGATTATCAGGGCCAACATAATTGAGGGTGTCTTACAACCCTCGGGTCAAGCATGAGTGAATGTACCACCTCCACTTCAGAAGCTTACAGTCTAACAAATAGCTGCTCCCTGTGTCCGCAGATTCGCCATTGTTCCATTCAACCAACCATGCGTCAAAAATACCCAGGAAAGAAATTACTTCTGTACAGAATAGGCAGCTTATTTTGGGGTCGTCATTACCTAAGTAATGTGATATAACCACTGTTTATATCCTGCTTATGCTTTGTTGGATATTGTAAGTAATGTAGAGATGATCTACATACATAGCTATGCATAGCTCATATGCAGATACCATGCCAGTGTATATGAGACTTGAGTACCTATAGATTGGGGTATTCATAGGTAGAGCCAACCAAGCCTCCCCAGGAATCTTGAGGGACAGCTGACTTGCCTCTGTTGTACAGAAACACTCCTGGCAACAAGTGTTCAGTAATGAGCAGACACTTTCTGTGGAGGTCACTCTGCATGCTAGAGAGGGAGCGCTGCTGAAAGGAAAAAGCCTTCACCCATGGCTATCTCCTGTGACTGAAGCCCTATTCCATATGCCCCAGGCATAAAACTTACTTATAAGTGACTCCAGAAATCCTGGTCTTTTTATTTATGCTATTTAAATTTTACATGTTTTATGGATATATAAGCTATTTTATGTAACATATGCAGAGAAGACCAGATTCGAAGCTGGAGAAGTGTCGAGAATTTTAAGCAGCTCACTAGACTAATTTGGCAAGTTCTTTTGATTTCTATCAGATGCCTTCAAAGGCAGACTGCTAGCTATTAATCTTAGCTCTACCCTTTCTTTCAGTGCGGAGACTCGGCTGTCTGCATTGTATGAAGGAGCACTTCTGCTTTGAAGCTCCAATGGAATTATTGGGGATAAAATTCACCAAGAACCTAATGGTTCATCCCATGTGTTCCCAAGTTTTCATGTATTTAAAGTCTGTTCCCATACTACTCTCTTTTCACCCATTCAGCATTCACACCCAGTGAGGTCCCTAAAGATAGTCTTTGTAGCTCTGAACCATCACCATGACTTAATGTTTACTTGGGGATAGCGTACCAACTGCCTTGTATAGTCCCTCACTGTTAATGCCAGGTTAATTAGACACTTCCTGAGTGTCTGCCACATTCCAGAATGCCCTAGGCCCCAAGGAGACAACAACAATTAAATTACAGTTCTTGTTGAAAAACTCATTTGTATTCTAGTGTTGGGGGGGGGGTGCTTACTGTTATAGCATACTAAGTGTCATGTGGTGATGGCCCAGAGGAAAGAGAGGGTAAGCATCGTTAACTCAGTCAGAGTACGTTTCCAGGAGTCTAGGTTTTATAAATTGGCACTGGAAGAATCTTGCTAGGATCTGAAGGGCCAGGAGGAGATTTTCTCCAGATTAAATGATGGCACAAAGCTACAAAAGTCTAAGGAACAGTTGTCAGCCCATTAAGGAGCTGAGCATGGAAGCACATGTCTGACATCCCAACACTCAAGAGGCTGGAGGAGTATGAGTTTGTAGCTATCCTGGTCTACCCCATGAGACTCTGGAAAACAAACTCACCCAATGGAATTCTGGGAAGGTCTGCAAAACATGACATCGCTGAGTTGAATGTCAGACTGCACAGGGCCATGAGGCGCGTTGCCTGTTGTAGGTCTTAAGAGATGAAAGAGGACTTTAGAAGGGCTGTCGAAGACCACAGCTGAGTTCGGCAGCAAAACACCGTCTTAGGACAACTCTGTGTAAGGGTAGGAAGGCTCTGGAAGCTTTTGTGGCCACCCTGGGAAGAAATTAGCAGAAGAGACCTGAAACCTTGTTAGAAATTGAAACTTCAAAGGGGCTGTGAACCAGTGGATTTATCCAGATGTGAGGGTGAGAGCAACTCAGATTCCAATTGTCTGAGGGGCAGGGGTAGAATTCCACTTTAGACAGGAGAACAGGTGATGCTCTGGAGATGTCAGGAAGCAGGAGTGATGGTTTGAGCTGACAGCATAGCAGTTATTTAAGCAATAGAAATGTAAGAGTCTTCTGCCCAGGCCATGCAGAGATTTGCAAAGATAAAAATGGGACCCTGGGGAACATCTGCCATTCTGACAGCAGATCAGAGGAATCTAGAAAACCGTGAGAAGGAAGTAACAGCCCACGGTGCAAGGAGCTGGAGGTGGAGGGGAACACAGAGGTGAACCATTCTGGAAGCCACATAGCAAGGTGTTCATAGGAACTCCACAGCGATGCAGCTGTTCAAGCAGGCAAGAACACACGGCCTTGGGAGCTTGCCTGGGAATGTTCTCCGCGATTTCATGATTAGCTTGCCCCAGTCAGGTTCCCAGGCTGAGGTGGAAGGATATGCTGCCTCAGTTGGTGGATGGAGGTGCAAAAGGGCTTCTTACCCTCAGCCATGCTGACACCTGATGCTTGTGGTCCCTAAGCCGCTCTCTAAACCACAGCCTTGGATCAACTGTTAGAAACTCAAAACTTGCATCTTCTAACATACTGGATCCGTGGTACCTTCTGGTGAATGCTGACTGCATGAATGAACTGAGAAACACTGGGAACTGTGGTGGGATCCTGGTGCGGTCGCTTAAATGTGAGCTTT